TTTCCGAGACGATAGAAAAGAAAAATGAACCAATCATTTTTTTGCTTTTATCTTCTTTTAAATGATATATCATACCAAATTATTGCTTAACAAATATAATATAATCGACTATAATTATTTCAAAATTATACAATCGAAACATGGTGCCCACAAGTTACGTATCATTACACAAGTAATCAATGTATACAAATAAAATAATAATAACAATAATAATAACATTGACTATCATAACAAACATTTTTTCCTCTTAAATTTAATAGAATTTATCAAGATTTGTTATTATTTTTAATAATACACTATAATTTATATTTATTGGATCATCCTCTCCAAAGTTGTCAAAAGGAATGAGAGTTAATTAATTATCTCCCCCTTTATCTTTTTAATACATTTTCTTATTTCTCTTTAAATACAAATGTAAAGTCTTGGATTTTAATTAATAGACCGAGAATTAATTCCCATTCTAGAAGTTATTTAATTCCATATAGCTAATGATTTAATTATTAGATTGGGAGATTAAATACTTTATTTTTTTCTTCAAAACTTACTCGTTTTTATTTACTGTTTGCAGGGACAATTTGTCAGAACACCAAATTCCTCTTGTGATTGAAGAACATACATATATAAAAGCTTCTCCTCCATTTTGTAGTTTACATCTTATTTTTTTGGAGTAATTCCTTTTGATTTGTCGGTTTTGCTATGGAGCCAACAGCTGACTCCATAGCAAAACGGTTGATTTGATACCTTTTGTTACACTGACAAAATAATTTTGGGAAGATGTAGACTCAGTCATGCCAAGGTTATGTAGGTACTAAAGGAAAAAGAAGCTAAGAGTCGAAGCAAATATTTGGACTCTATTTTTTGTAGAAGTTTAACTTAATATGCTTTGTATTTTCCTTTCTTGTTTTATGCTACGAATTTGAACTTCTGTGATAGTTGGTTAATGCATTGCCATCTTTTCATTTAAGCGCACAAGCAATAATGTGCCTATAAGAGGTTAGATATAACTTATCCTAATATGCATTGCCATCTTTTTTTTATTCATTTTTTACCTGCCCTGCCGGGCCGAGCCGGTGGTTTTGGGCTGGTCCTGGGTTTTTCGACGGGTCATAGTTGTTTTTTTATTTTTATTTTTTATTTTAAAAACCGGCGATTCAACGAACCGCCGGGTCGGACCGGTTCATTTGAACCGACCCATAGGAATTGCCGGGCCGGTTGCGGGCCCAACATTTGAGGCTCGCCGACCCGGTGGGTTGGGCCGGGCCGGTTCACGTCTGTATTCGCTCATCAAAATAAATTAATTCGCTATAGATTTATTATTGAACTACTTTTTTTTGTCAAATTTAAATTACTCATTCTCCACTATACTCGACTTATCTCCAAATAACTAAGATATCAAATGTCTGTTAAAATATTTAATTATTGATAATTTAATTAATAAAAAATTTGATTTTTCTGAAACAAGTACTACTAAACGTTATTGTTATTGTAGACATCAAAATTTTAATATTTTATTAATTGATGTCTTTATTTATTTTGGGACATAAATCCAAGATATATAAGATATTTAATTAATAAAGTAATTGTTTCTTGTCCACCAAGTCAAATCTTAGGATAAGGAAATAGATTATATCAAATTTTAGGATAAGGGCGTCTCCAATGGTTAGCTATTTGGCTAACTATTATGACGTGGACAGAGGAAAAGTAAGAGAGAGAGTAGTCACTAGCTACTAAC